GCGTGTTTGAGCAGCTTGACTTCTTCAAGGAGGCTGTTGGGCTCGGACGCATTCGGGACATTACTTTCATCAGTAACCCGGACGCCGAGGACTATGGCCTCACATCCGATTACAATGAGGCTATGAACGGCTGCCTTCGACACCTTGCAGATGGGGACATCGACGATGGGACCCGCATCAAGGCGATCGACTCGATCGACCCGTCGGTCATGACATTGCTGGCTCACAGGTACGATGACGTGCATATGACGTACAGCAATGCCAACCGGAAGGTTGTGTCGAAGTTCCTTCATGCGGCAATCAACACGCAGCTGTTGGCCCAACGGATCAGGTGCGCTCTCCCGGCTATCGGGAGCGTTGAACCCTATGTGAAAGGAGAACCGGTGGATCCTGTGCTGTTTGGCTGGCCCACATGCTTGAAGCTGGCCAAAGCACTCCACGAGTACGCTGCGATGGAGGAGAGGCCCGACTGGTCTCACGATCAGGAGGGCGAGGAGATCGACGCCGACGTGGCCGCCTGGATGAAAGTGGCTGAGGACGAGTCCTACAATGCCATGACCATCGAGATGCGGGGGGCCATGGTTGACGAGTCGGAGATCATCCTCGAGGCGGTCGACAAGGGAGAAGAGAACTCCGACAAGGAGCTTGACCGCGTCGAGATCGCCATGTCACAATACATTGGCCACACTGCGGAACAGCACGGGTTGTCCATTGTGCCTGACGATGAGGACAAGGACAAGTGGCTCCTGCTGGGCGATGACACCCAGGATTTCGGGTGGGACCCAACCAGCCTGCCCCCAGGAGTGCACCGCGCTGCGCCGGAAGGCCAGTCGATCGTTATCGCGGAAGGAGACTTGTTCGACCAGGAGACGGTTGTGTCATTGGAACTGGTGTCAGAGGCAGATGAATCCGAGGCGGCAGGGATGAGTTCCATGATCACCGCGGAGTCGGTCGCTTTTGAGTCCGTGACGGAGGGCACCAGCACATCCAAGCAACCGCCAACTCCGCCGCCACCAAGGCGCGGATCTGCTGCAAAGAGCGCTGTGGGGGAACCCCAGTCGACTGGTTTCATCGAGATTGGAGACGAGTCGGACCCCACGGCTGCCGGTTCGGCCGACAAGCCCCAGGTGAAGGCGATGCCGAGGATTGCAAAGGCCAAAGCGCCGCCTGGCAACGCCGAGGGGGAACCCCGGTCGAAGAAGCAGAAGGACCCGAAGCAGGAAAAGATCTTTTGGGAGGACTGGGCCAAAACCCGGAAGATCAACACGAAGATCCCGGCCGAGGAGCAGTGCGAGTGGCTCGAGGTTGAGGATATGGGGCATGTCCCCAAGGTCAATATGGACCGCGATTACAGGCTTGTGGCTATCTCGAAAAAGATGTCGTACTTCCTCCGGGGAGGGGCATTCAAGGACGGGAAACCACACCCACCATTCCGTGGAATCGATTTGTCGGTGGAGTTCGATGCACTGGTCAGGCATTTGAACGACCGGATTGCCAATGTCATGCCTTGGGAGGTGATGATCTGCATCCGGAATAACAATACCCGGAGATTCCGCGTGATGGTTGGACCCCCTCCTTTGGGGGAAGCATCCTGGAAAGGATTGCCGTATCAGGCGTTGCGGGTGAGGGCCGTGCAAGGACACCACAACGAGCTCACCAGGAAATACACCGAGCAGGCGATCCTGACGAATTTGTATTCCTTTGACGAAGAGTTCACTGCGGCGAAGTACTTGGGCGGGCAATACCCGAGAGCGGTACGGCATCCCGAGCAGACGGATCTCTGGCGCAGGGGCTTCCCTGCTGTTCTCTACCATACCTGTGACCTCAGGTCTGCCGAGAGCATTATCAAGTTTGGCCTGGTCCCGGGGGGCTATCCGAAGTCGACAGGCAGAGCCCACGTCTACTTCAACCCCACGCCACCCTGGGAGGCGCAGATGAGGAAGCTGGCGGGAACGCGAGCCGGAAGGCCCGTCACGATTGCTTTCGATACGGAGCTCATGATGCAAGACGGCATTCGACTCTTCACGAGCGATGAGGCGTTTATGTCTGCCGATTGGGTTGGAAATGCATATATTATTTACGCTTTCCACACCCGCAAGAATGAGTTCCTCTATTTCAATCGTGCGTACCCCGAGCTTCGCAAAAGGTACCGCGATGCGTTGACATCCGAGCTCAAGCCAGGTTTTGAGGAAGCCAATCCGAACTTTTTCAGAAGTGAAAACACCCTGACCGCAGAAAAGGCATGCAGGCATTGGCGGACTGTCGTTGAGGGGACAAGGAACGGCAAATTGCTTCCTGGTGCCGTGACTGAGATTGCCACGATCGATGAGCTCGCTCCCCGGAAGGGGAAGTCGAATGAGAGACCTGCAGGGCCGACGTATCAGGTCGCGCCTGCAACCCTTCGACGGGTGCCCGAGCTCTCCAGGGGAGAGACATGGTCGCGGCTGGAACAACCTTCGGAGCCGCTACCAGAACGAGCCAAAGTGGGAAGACCTCTTTTTCACGACCATGATGAAGAACCCGGTTGTGAAGTCCTGGAACAAGAGGTGTGGCAACCAGCAGATCGACGGCTACCTTTTGTGTCAGGAATGCCGATCAGATATGGTCGAGTGGACGGATGCCCGGATCGCCGCCGAGGTTGTGCGCCTTGAGCACACCGCGTCTCTCCAAAACATGGTCTTCTACTTGGAAGACCTCCAGGGGGGCGGTGGGAAGTGGATCCGCTCCAAGCATCACGCCAAGGAAGGCGACAAGCGGGGAGGAATCTCCGTCGAGGCGTCACTCAGAAAGACGGCAAAGACGCATCTGACCAAAGCGCTGGCAATGGGCTGTGAGAAGGTGTCCGACCGCCTCTCGGTCGACCCGTTCTATGCCTATAATTGCGCTACGCAAGGGTTGACTCCTGAAAGCCTGGATTTCCTAGGCAGGATCGCCCGAGCGATCGTTGCAGACCCTGGCCGCACACGAGAGGAGCGCGATAGGGGAGGGTCTCAGAACACTGGCACGAAGTTGGTGTTCATTCCCAGCCCCAACAAGCGCGACCCCCACGAGTTGAACGTGTCAACGGAGGCTTTCATCGCGCACCATGCGAGATTCTACACCATCATGCAGTTCGCGGTATTATGTGTGCCTATCGTTTCATTCCCGGCAATCAGGTGCCTATCATCATTGGGCACAGTGGATCATACGTCCCGGAAGGGAGCCTCGAGAACATCTTGGAGGTGATGGTTAGCTTTATCCGCACCTTGTGGGCAAAGCACGACTCCCAAGGAACGATCAGCACAGGCGAACTGGAGATCCCGCAATTCTCATCCGGCCGTACAAGAAGCTATCCCGTCGAGGCGAGGAACACTCAGTGGAGGGCAATCACCCGGTCCATCCGCCCCGAGCCCTACAATGCCAAGGGAAAGGGCAAGGGCAAAGGCAAGAACAAGGGGCGTCAGGACTGGAGCTCTTGGAACTACGGGTGGTCCTATGGATGGGATCAATGGCGTCAGGGCCCATGGGGATGGTGAGCACCCGCATCAATCACGAAAAGTTTAGCTTTTGTTGCGGTATCCTTTTCAAATTTCATTGGTGATGTCATGTTCGAAACCTATTATCTTTCATCCATTGATGCCGCAACATTAGCTGTGCCATGTTTGCACGCCCGGCGGAAGCTGCGGCCGTAGGTCAATCCACGGCCGCCACCACCGGCTGTATTTCGATTTCGCCCAGCGGAAGCTGTGGTCGTGAGATCACCTCCGTTTGCGGCAACAAAATGAATTCAGTCTCAAGCATTCACATGAGAAATCACATGTGTATTGCCCGACGGAAGTCGTGGTCGGCCGACTCGATTGGCATGCTCCTGCAAAAGACCAAATGCATTGCAGTTGCAGCGGCCATTGATGCAACAGGCCCCAAAACACCATGGCTTGCCACTTATCACACTGAGGCTCAACGTCTTCATCGTCGCGACCTCAGAGGACTTTGCTTCAGGCCTGGGGGGAAACATGTACAAAGTACTGTTCTCACCAACGCACCTCTGCAAAGCGGGGGGTGTTGATAGGTAGTGGCATTCCGACATGATACTGGCTCAAGAAAAATTGACTGCCGCCCGTGCTGACATTCCACCTTTCAACAAGTTCCTGTTAGCAGATGACGGCCAACAATTTTTTAATCAACAGGAAAATATGGCTTGGTTCTTTTATGATTGAAAGGGGAGCGGCAAGCCCAAGTTTGGATGAGTCTTTTCTGTTTGAGGATGCGTTTGCAACCATGTGCGCTATGATTGAAAGGGGAGCGGCAAGCCCAAGTTTGGATGGCTCTTTTCTGTTTGGAATACATTTGCAACCATGTGCGCTTTGATTGAAAGGGGAGCGGCAAGCCCAAGTTGGATGGGTCTTTTCTGTTTGGAATACATTTGCAACCATGTGCACTATGATTGAAAGGGGAGCAGCAAACCCCGTTTGGATGCGTCTTTTCTGTTTGGGATACATTTGCAACCATGTGCGCTTTGATTGAAAGGGGGCCGGCAAGCCCAAGTTTGGATGGGTCTTTTCTGTTTGGAATACATTTGCAACCATGTGCACTATGATTGAAAGGGGAGCAGCAAACCCCGTTTGGATGCGTCTTTTCTGTTTGGGATACATTTGCAACCATGTGCGCTTTGATTGAAAGGGGGCCGGCAAGCCCAAGTTTGGATGGGTCTTTTCTGTTTGGAATACATTTGCAACCATGTGCACTATGATTGAAAGGGGAGCAGCAAACCCCGTTTGGATGCGTCTTTTCTGTTTGGGATACATTTGCAACCATGTGCGCGTGTGTGCTCGCATGTCTGTTGTTCCTTGGGAAGCGCTGGAAATTGGAAGCCTTGCAGCCCAAAGTCACTTTTGACTGGGCCTTTTCAACTTGGATGTGACGGCATCCCGGCCTGGTCAAATTTGACTCCGGTCTCACCGTGTTGGAATCCTCTTTCCAGGCTTCCCTGAAGACCAGAAATCGTTCCTCGAACAGCCAAGGCTTTGGCTCACTTGCTCCAGACTCGCTCAGGCCTGGCTGAGGTTTGGGACCTCCCCAATAGCTCCCATGGCGGGCTTTTCGGGTTTGCGCTAGTGTCAAGCTCACCTGGCGTCAAAACGAACTTGGGTTCATGATGAAGGCCTCTCTTTATGGTACTTAGACATCCCTGGGGTTTGATTGTGAGGTATTCACAAGTTACTGTGGGTGTGTCCCTTAGGTGCGGGATCACAAAGATTCATAACGGCGGATGGCAGCATCCAGCATCATATTTCGAGGTCCTTCATGCTGCGGCTTGGAATCAACCTGTCTTGGGACAGGTGTCAAGTCAACGGGTTGGAAGCTGTTGGCCTTTTAGCCAAATCAGTTTGCAGGCCGGGTTTCAGGATGCCCTGCCCGTTGTTCCGATATGGTGCCTGTTGTTCCAGCCGTCAGGAGTGCAAACAGAAGCGACCTAGGAGGTAAACCCCATGCCACTCAATGCAAGTACATCCAGCAACATGTCGAACCAACCCTCCAGTCCACATGTTCATCGAGTACATCTCGCAAATACGAGTGTCACAGCGGCTTCTACAACTGTGACATTTCATCAATATTGATAGAATAGAATTGCACTCGCGTGGGCCCATGCATTGAGGGCCCTTTCCGCCCCCTGTCGCAGGAGGCTGGAGCACACCCTTGACTTTGACGCTCCTCGCAGCTCTGGCTTTGATGATGGTGTCCGTTGTTGTGGCAACTTGGCACTGAAATGCGAGCACCAACGGCTGTCCACTTCTGTCGCCTCTACAGTGCGAGCGCTGTATAAGAATCGGTTGGTCGAGGTGTGGGGGGTGAATTTCTCGGCGTCAATGTCGTCTTTAAAAGAGCTGGTTTCTACCCTCTGGAGCCAGCGGAAAGGTTGCTAAGAAATCCAGCCCCTGAATTTCTTAGCAGGCTGAATGTCTCAGCAAAGGGCCTTCATCGCCGACAAGGCCGCTCAAAAATCCAATGCCCAGCCTCAGAAACCAGAGGTGTCTGACTCAATTCCTGGCGTTTTCTTTCTCGCACAAGCTACAAGTTGGCTAAGAAATTTGGCGAACAATCCAGAAGGGCTCAATTTCTTAGCAGCAAATGCGGTTGCGCCCCGCTTGATTTAGGAATCTCAGCCCCTCAAATTATTTACAATGATTTCTTCTACAGTGCTTGCACTGCATGTCGCGTTCCTTATGTACGTGCTCATGGCTGACTGCTCGGCCCTGACGTGTTTGACCTTGGCTACCCGTCTGATTAGTAGGCCATGAGTTTGCCCATGCTGCGCTTCGAACCTGTACGCACACACACACACACACATACACACACACACACAAACACCATGGCAGAACTTGCAACACCGTGACTTAAAAGCTTGTCGCAGAGGCATGCAGAAGGATGCTAAAAAAGGCTTTGTAGCAGGAAGGGCATTGCTGGTGTTAGGTCCGTGGCCAGTTTGGCAGAGCAAGCACCCCTCAGTTTTGAAGTGCAGCACCCGGTTTCCTCAAGGACCACGCACACTACATTCCAAATGGTTGGCACCATAAGTGAAAAGTATGGCCATACAAGCAGGCAAGGCATTTGTCCCACTTGCGTTAAAAGTTGAAGGTCGCCCGAAGCTGTTGCAGGTCCAGCGCCCGAAGGGCGCCGCCAAGAAAACGGACCCCACGATCTTCGGCAAGAACCTTGGCCTTGAATGACACTGAGCCAATTGAGCAAATGCGATCCATACAAAGAAATGGAAGAAACCAAATCTCATTGTCAATCATATAGAAACGTATTTAGATACATATTATCAACGAATAGTTATTTAATATTATGTAAATTATTTGTGTGTTTAAATATTGTAATATGATTTCGAGGTTACATTTTTTTGGTTGGATGGTACAGTTGAATTACGATTAGAATTTATGGAAATTTAAATCGTTTATGAAATTGTATTGATGGTTGTATTTATATGGCTCAATCATTGTAGATATAATTAATGAATTATATTATATTTTTTGTAGAATTTTGAAAAATATTTTTATAATTCTAATAATATTTTAAGAAAGGGTTTTCATTGTTTGTGGTTTTATGGATATGTGTATAATTGATTGATGAATTGATTATTTTAAACTTATAAATTTTACAAAATATATTTTAAAACAAAAATTATATTGGAATAAAATATATTGATATAATTAGAATATATTTGTAAATTTTTGTGTTGGTATTTGGTGTTTATTTTTTCGATTGTTGTTCGGAGGTTTGTTTGGGAAATTATGCCGTTGATTTTGTGTTTTTAAAATTGTTTAGAGATTTTTCGGGGCGTTGTTCGGGTTTTAAGTTTGTTTGAAATTAATATATGAAGATATATATAGGTGTTTATGTAGAATTTTGTTAAGTTGTATTAGTTGTGATTTTTTTGTTATGTATTTGTATGTGATATTTTGTTTTGTGATATGTATTTATATTATTTTATATTTATTTAGTGAAATGATGTTTAAATTAATTTAAATGTATTGAAGGAAAATATAAGATAAACACATATATTGATGAGTCTTTTTTTGTATATATATATATATCGAATTTTAAATTTATTTGTGTTTAATATATGAAAACAGGTGTTTGTGTAGAACCATTTTTGGTAAATAATATATATATATATATATTGTTATTTATATATATTATTATTAATATTTGGAATTGAATAATATATATTTCATGAATCGAATTATATATGTTATTATATTATTTTTATTAGAATTAAATTATATTATTTTAATTAATATTTATAGAATAGAAAGGTAAATTGAAAATTATATAAATAAATTTATTGAATTTTTATATATTTGGTTTATAATAATTCGAAAATTAAAATTAATAATTCTATATATCAATGGGTGGAGATTTATAGCGGCTTCCAGGTCCATCAGCATGCGAAATGGTTGGTTGATTATAGGGAATTTAGGATTTAATTAACTGGGGGTTTTTGTTTATCTGTTTTATTGATTTAGATTGTTTTGTCGATTAATATTTTAATATAAGATATATTTATCTTAATTATGTAATTAGGAATTGTTCCATATTCTTATATTGTATTTTTTAAAGGAAAACAACTATATCTCCGTACGAATCAAAAACCAATTAGAACTAGAAATTTCTTTAAATTATATAATAATTAATAATTAATTATTTCGTATTTTTCTATTTAAGATAATATTTCTATATGATTAATTATTTTTCCTAAAAGGGGATATTCTTAGCCCAAAGATATTATAATCCCAAAAGGTAAGACGAATTACACCATTAACAATATTATTTCCGTCATATACAATTGTAACGCAGGTATAAATAAGCTCATAATATTCGATTCACGACTAGAATCTAGCCGCATGACTTACAATTTCCATATAATCCAAAATTGGAATTATTATTTAGATATAATAATTGCACCAAAACCACCAAAATTTTTATCGAGAAACTCAATTCATAGAGTTTCATGCCTTTAGGGAATTTTACCAATTTAAGGAATTATAAATATTATTCATACGAAAAATATTATTTTTTTTTAGAAAAAAAGAATATTCGTATTTCCAAAATTCGTAAGAAATTCTGAGATTGATTATTAAGTCGCACGTACAATCCAAGGTAGCAGCCTTTTGCATTCCAATCTCTATATTACAACGGTGCTCAATATTCATGTGTTACCATTATATTTATTTCATATATATTACCTTAAATAAAAATAATTAATACTAAAATATTAGTATAATACAAATAATTTATAAAAAATATATAAAAAAATAAAACAATAATATCTCTTTCCCATTTTATTTATTATATGTAATTATAATAATATATCGTCAACAAATCGGAAATTTTATATGTTAAAAGAAAAACATTTTAAATCAAAAACAATATATCAAATTTTATAAATTCAATATATCATAAATTATATATATATCAATAATAACATGCAACAAAACAACATATCTTTAGCATTATAAATAAGAAATAATATATAAATAACAAAATAAATTATTAAATTCAATTAAAACCACAATAACAATTCGCAACAAAATAAATATTAAATAAACCCAAACCCAAACAAAAACACACCAATCCGAACACAATACCACCATCATAATTTTACAAAAATAAGAATTTCAACAAACTAAAAATTATATAAACATATCATATAAATATATATCCTCTAATTCAAATAAATAAACTATATTAATTAATAATTTTATTCGATAATATCACATTTCAAACAACATAATCGCCAACCAAAAAACCGAAAAACATATCACAAACTAATATATATATATATAAAATCAATCTTCAATATGTTATAAACCAATTCTATTATAATTGGTTATTATAGATATAAAATCAATAATTCAATATTAAATTCAAATACAAAAAAATAATCAATTTAATATTTATAAAAAAAAATCAAAATAAAAAAAAAAATCAACATATATATATATATATTTAAAACAATAAAATATATGTTGTTTTAAATATAATTTCTAATATATATTATGTATTATTATAATAATTTCAATTATAAGTGTTCTTCAATGTATTTATATTTATATCAATAAATTCATTATCATTATGTATTATTCTTATCATGCGAGACGGCTTGCTGGCGCCTTTGGGAAAAGAGTTCAGCTCATGCTTGGCGGACTGGAGTGTGTAGTAGGTCTTTGTGACTTTGTCGCCCACCACAACACGATACATATAGGTATCCGTGGGATTCTTGTCATCGGCTTCGCAAACCTTCACCATGCGGTCAATGTCAGCCTGGTCCCACCACCACTTGTTGAAGCCGGCCTTCACCCCAGCGGCCTGGTTCTGGCGCGAGGGCCCAATCTTCGAAGGGCTCTTGGTCACCACTCCATTCTTCACCTCACAGATCATGCGAGACGGCTTGCTGGCACCTTTAGGAAATGAGTTCAGCTCATGCTTGGCGGACTGGAGTGCGTAGTAGGTCTTTGTGACTTTGTCGCCGACCACGACACTGTACTTGTAGCCTGCGGACGCCTCGTCGATGAACTCTGGTGCCGCGCTGACTGCTAAACCAATATGCGCTCGGGAGTTGAGGCACCAGGCGCAGCCAAGGAGGGCCAAACCACAAACCATCCACAACGCCAACCGGCCCGCGCCCCAAACGGTGCGTGGTGGCGAGTCAGCGTCGGTTGCATCCTTCTCTTCCTCAGGTCCTGCCTCCAGTCCGCTCAGCCTCAAGGGAACGGTTTCGCTCATCTTGTTTCTGAACGCAAGAGGAAATTCCAGGATCACAACGACCGATGACTCTGTGCTATGTATTTGTATTTGAGCCGTGGAAGCCACCAGAGACAAGTTTGGGACTTAACACTAAACTTCATGGGCGATGCAAGACTGCTCAGCCGCGAAACCATGCAATCGCTTTGGTCTTTCGTGCCAGCGCAATGCGTGCACTCAACCATTGTGGGCACAGTACTTGCAACCCTTTAACGCTGTGGACCGCGTTCAGAGCCAGGCCAATTGGAATGTTCTATCTATATCTATATCTATATATATATATATCATTTTCAGATTATCGAATTTAGCAAATACTAAACATACATATTATCAATTACTGTTCACAATTTTCAAAAGATTCAAAAAAAGTAATTGAGAACCATAATAAGTATTTTATGCCTTTCCATCGGAACACAGTTCGGATTTCGGAGATCATTCTGGACTGGGCCATCGGACAACCTATGTGCCCTCATCACTTCATAGTGTTGGCGTTGCAAATCTTCACCATGCGGTCGATGTCAGCCTGGTCCCACCACCACTTGTTAAAGCCGGCCTTCACCCCAGCAGCCTGGTTTTCGCGCGAGGGCCCAATCTTCGAAGGGCTCTTGGTCACCACTCCCTTCTTCACCTCGCAGATCATGCGAGACGGCTTGCTGGCGCCTTTGGGAAAAGAGTTCAGCTCATGCTTGGCGGACTGGAGTGTGTAGTAGGTCTTTGTGACTTTGTCGCCCACCACAACACGATACATATAGGTATCCGTGGGATTCTTGTCATCGGCTTCGCAAACCTTCACCATGCGGTCAATGTCAGCCTGGTCCCACCACCACTTGTTGAAGCCGGCCTTCACCCCAGCGGCCTGGTTCTGGCGCGAGGGCCCAATCTTCGAAGGGCTCTTGGTCACCACTCCATTCTTCACCTCACAGATCATGCGAGACGGCTTGCTGGCACCTTTAGGAAATGAGTTCAGCTCATGCTTGGCGGACTGGAGTGAGTAGTAGGTCTTTGTGACTTTGTCGCCGACCACGACACTGTACTTGTAGCCTGCGGACGCCTCGTCGATGAACTCTGGTGCCGCGCTGACTGCTAAACCAATATGCGCTCGGGAGTTGAGGCACCAGGCGCAGCCAAGGAGGGCCAAACCACAAACCATCCACAACGCCAACCGGCCCGCGCCCCAAACGGTGCGTGGTGGCGAGTCAGCGTCGGTTGCATCCTTCTCTTCCTCAAGTCCTGCCTCCAGTCCGCTCAGCCTCAAGGGAACGGTTTCGCTCATCTTGTTTCTGAACGCAGGAGGAAATTCCAGGATCACAACGACCGATGACTCTGTGCCATGTATTTGTATTTGAGCCGTGGAAGCCACCAGAGACAAGTTTGGGACTTAACGCTAAACTTCATGGGCGATCCAAGACAGCAACCATGCAATCGCTTGGTCTTTTGTGCAGAGCAATGCGTGCACTCAACCATTGTG